ACTCACGTCTACATGTCACCACAGTAGGACAAACTGACAGACAAGTTTGTCTTGCTGTTGGAGACCTCTCGTATCACCCCCACCTGGGTCCCTGTGGCTGACTGTACCTCTGTCTGGCTTCCTGGCTTTTAATCCCCTTTCTCCTGCTCTTCTGGCCTGCTGCTTTGGGCATGCCTCAGTTGTCCCTGGGGCTGACTGCTCCTCTATCCGGGTTCCTGGCTTTTATCCCCTTTCTCCTGCTCTTCCCGCCTGCTACTTTGGGCATCCCTGGGTTTCCTCTCCTCACCTAATCCCTTCGGCTGATTGCTTTTCTCCCTGGCTTCCTGGCTTTTAATCCCCTTTCTTCTGCTCTTCCCACCTGCTACTTTGGGCCTCCGAGTTGTCTCTCCTCACCTGTAACCATGGGGTTGACTGCTCTTCTCTCTGGGTTCCTGGGTTTTATCTCCTTTCTCCTGCTCTTCCAGCCTGCTACTCTGGGTGGGCCTGAGTTTCCTCTCCTCACCTAATCCCTTTGGCTGATTGCTCTTCTTTCTGGCTTCCTGGCTTTTAATCCCCTTTCTCCTGCTCTTCCCGCCTGCTACTTTGGGCTACAATATGAGGCACCATAAATCCACATGGATTCCAAATAGTATAATGAGGAAAAGTGAGTATAAAGTATTTCTAACAGTCTCTTGCAAGCTCACGTGTTATATTTTAATTTTTCAAATTCTCATTATCAATATCACAAAGAAAATTCTATCCTTGTTGTTGTTGTTATGTGCAGTCGAGTTGTCTCCGACTCACAGCAATCCCTCTTTGGGTTTCCAAGGCAGTATCTCTATGGAAGTAGATTGCCCAATGAGTGGCTGGTGGGTTTGAACGCCAACCTTCTGGTTAGCAGTCAAGTGTCTTAGGCACTACACCACCAGAGCTCCAAAATAGTACTTTACCATTATCAGTTAATTTTTAAAATTATTTGTTGTTGTCAGTTGCCATTGAGTCGGCTTCAACTTGTAACAACCTTATGTGTAATAACAGAATGAAACGCTGCCCAGTCCTGAGTCATCCTCACAATTGTTGCTAAGTTTGAGCTTATTTTTGTACCACTGTGTCAATCCACCTCATTGAGGTTCTTCCTCTTTTTTTTTCCAAGGATGATGTTCTTCTCCAGGTAATGGTCCCTTCTGATAACATGATCAAAGTAGGTGATATGAAGTCTGGCCATTCTCTCTTCCAAGAAGCATTCAAATTGTTTAAAGTGAAAGGTACACTCTATTGTGTAGAAGTCCAAGGTCATTGAAGTGATTAAGCTAAGTACTATGGTTAGGGTGGGAAGAGAGTGGTGAGTGTAGAGCTAGGGTATATAGAGTGTGCCAATGACATAAGGATCAAGAGAAGAAAGAGTCTCAAAGAAAGAAAGGTTAAATATTGATCCTGAAATTATTGGGGACTTATTCTCACTTTTTCGCAGTACAAATAATGAGCTGTGTTATATATGTATTATATATACACTCTATATTGATTCAATGGCAGTCTTTCATGCCAGTCTGCAAACACCATGAGGATGAGAGTCTTATCTTATTTACTAGAGTGTCCCTAGAATCTCACATTTTCTATGACCCATAGAAGATGCTCAATAATATTGTTGATTTTATTTATTTATTTATTTTTGCATAAAGAGAACTAATGATTCACTGAGGCCAAGAATTCAAATATGCTCACAAAGTCACACTGGTTCACGTCATTGGAGTCTCCAAGGGGATCCTTCTTCCCTACCCAGGTTCTAAGCAACTTGAAAAATAAAAGAGCAGAGACTAATGTCAAAATATCACCTATATAATTGGTTTCAGCCATGTTAGAGGATATAGCTTTTAGGTCCAAGGGAATTTGCTCACTGACACCCAGAAACTGGCAGTCTTTTCCCCAGTCTCCTAAAGAATAGAGGAATAGAAGAGAATGTGTGCTTCCCACGGTAAGCCTTGATCCCAAGTAGAAAAGGGCAGAGCTGGATGAGTATGTCCAGTTGGTCTCCCCAAATTCAACAGGGAATATAGATACAGTGAGTAAGTGAGCTAAGGAGACAGAAGTGTCCCAACAGTGGAGTTCCCTTCACCTGGGAGGAAACATCAGATGTGTCTCCCTCTAAAAAACATAAATAAATACAATGGCTTCTTCCTTAATTCACCTCCATGTAGGTAACTCATGTGACTCACGAAGCTCCACATCCAATACCAGATACATGGACTGTGTTCCACACCTCTGTAAATGCTGTTGGTGCTGTGGATGGGCTGCTCTCTAGGACACCCACACTCTCCAGCTCCCACCCAAATCATTTGATTTCAAAAGTCAAATGTTTTATCCTGAATTTATTTAAGGAAATCATACTTATTACATTTACAGCATTTAATTAAATATTATGTGAATTGAGAAAACAAGAATGTGATTTTTAAAAAAAGAGAGAGAGAGTTGTTTCTATGAAAATTAAGCTTAATGCTTTGGAAAGTTTCCATGAAGGTGAACTTCTTAATTAAAAATTTCCATCAGATTAGGTATGGGCGAAATCACTGTAGATCTCTTCTCAAGTGTCTCTAAGTCCTCTTTCCACTTTAAAGAACTAGAACCTAGAAATCACAGAACATGTATTATTGGTGTAGTTTATGCAAAAAAGGCAACCGGAACTCCAAACAGCAGAACCATATGCAAAGAAAGACTAGCAGTAAATGTTTTAGTTATGTTTCAAATCCACCCAGAGGTGCCTTGGAAGAAAGACCATAAAATATTTCAAGTACCTAAGTATCATTTTTTACAATTCCCTGTATTGATCTTCTTCCCAATCATGTTGCATAAGAGAACTTCTGCCATAAATAACACAAGGTACTATTTTTAGGCCAATTAAACGGTCTTTCTGTAGATTTCCAATTGTCAAACAGTTCTTCTGGAGTCATGAAGACTCAACTCTTGTTTGCTCCATTGCTAGATATTTCACATCCATTTAGGAAATAAGCACTACTCACAGTGGGACCCAGGAATCCTTTCTCTGCTCAGGAACTTAATTACTTTGATTTCTGTAGATTGTGCTAACAATGAGAAGCTTTGAGAAGCTGATTTCTAGAATATTTCATCAGGTGATAGGAATGAGACAGAGATTACTAGGACAATACTTACAGGCCCAGCAAGACTTCTGTAGAAGGTTTGTTTAAATGCTTTGTGGGTTCCTTCGTCTTTTTCCCGATGTCCTGGCAATAAGCCCATGTGTCCTCCAGCTTCCTGTCAGGATCTAGCACTTCCAGAACCTTTAATAAGAGCTATAAACACAAAATGGTCTTGGAGGGAAGAAAAATAGGCTGAAAAAAATAGGGTCTCTTAATTCTAAGAGGCTCCGGGTAGCACAAACAGTTAAGGGATCAGCTACTAACTGACAGATAAATCCTTCACACTCTACCCAGCTGGATGGATGTTCAATAAAACTTATTTTTCTAACAATTCACCCTGGTCCTGTGCCTCTCGGCATTTGAAACCTAACATATATGGTGCCAAAACACAGGAACCACCAAGAGGAACTCAGAGAGGATCTCTCCCTCCCATTGCTGACTTGGCATCCACCACCAGCCAATTCATCTCTGGTAAGTGACATTTTGTCTTTCCCATATGGATTTCTGATTTGCTGACTTCTCTCAAGACCTAGCACTAGGCCAGAAATCCTCCAGCTTTGTCCCCAGGATTCTGCCCTCCTGAACCTCCTCTGTGCCAGGGATGCCCACACAGGGGTTGTTTCACTCTCCTCTCCGGTGTCAGGCCAAACAACAGGGACGCCTTTCCGATGGTCCTCACACCTCCAGAATTCAAAGTGTCACTTATCCTCTCTCAACTAATCTCCCTCATCCTGGCCTCTCTTCAGAGATCCGGCCCAAGTGTCTCATTTTTTCTGTAATACCTCTTGGCCTCAGTATAAATTAGACAATGACTCTCACTGGCCTGAAAATGGCACATTCAATTTAAATGTCCTTTGTGACAATTTTTGTCAATGCACTGGGAAATGGTTAGAGATCCTCTATGACCAGGCCTTCTTTACCCTCCGGAATAGACCCCCTCTCTGTCAGTCCTGCTCCGCCTGTCAAATCCTCCTGCTTCACTCCAAACCCTCTTCCACCAACCCTACCTCCTCTCGCTCAGAACTGCTGGACTCTGAGACTCCTTTTGACCCAGCTAACCATTCTTCCCCCCTTTAATGGGTCCCCCTCCATATGCTACTCCCGTCCTTCCTCCAGACCCAGGCCCTTCTCCTTCTTTCTCCCCCCAAGAAACTCGTTCTCGAATCGCCCAGCCCAAAGCTCCCATTCTTCCACTCTGGAAAGTGGCTGGGGCTGAAGGCATTGTCCGAGTTCATATTCCCTTCTCCATGTCTAACCTATCCCAAATTGAGAAGCTCCATGGTTCCTTTTCAACTGACCCCACTACCTATACCAAAGAATTTGAATATATCAGCCAGCCTTATGATCTCACCCAGCATGATATTTATGTCATTTTAACCTCTTCCCTAACCCCAGAACAAAAGGAACGTGTCTGGCAGGAAGCTCAGGCTCATGCAGATGAACTTCATAGACAAGATACAGCTCTCCCTTTAGGGTCTGTAGCCAACCCTCAAACTGACTCAGATTGGAACTATCATATAGACTCCCCAGGCAGATGACACCATGGTCATATGATCACTTGTCTCACTGCTGGCCTAAGAAAGGCAGCTCATAAGGCAGTTAACTATGAAAAACTTAAAGAAATTACCCAAGGCTCTGAGGAAAACCTGACCCTCTTTCTCACCTGCCTCACAGAAACTTTACAGAAATATATAACTCTTAATCAGACCTCCCCAGAGGGAATTCTAGATCTCAACATGCATTTTATCTCCCAATCAGCTCCAGACAAAAGTCGTAAATTGCAGAAGCAGGACACAAATCCCTGGAAAGGACCTTCTTATCCTTGCCTTTAAGGTCTTTAATAATAGAGATGAGGAATTAAGGCTACAGAAACAAGATCAGGCAAAGGCCTAACTCCTAGCTACTGCCCTTCAAGGCTCCATGAAAGGCCCCAAGAGGTAAACTCACTTTTAAACCTCCTCCAGGACCATGAAGAGGTAAACTTGAGCCTCCTCTGGGACTGTGCTTCAAGTGTGGTAAAGGGGGCCACTGGGCCAAATCCTGCCCAAACCCAAGACCCCCACCTGGGCCCTGCCCAGCGTGTGGCAAGGAGGGATGCTGGAAGTCAGACTGTGATCAAGCCCTTCGAGGCAGGATTGCATTTGTTCCAAAAATACCCTTCTCTGAGTCCAGTTTGGAGCTTCCTGAACTCCTTGGCCTCACCGCTAAAGACTGAGGGTGCCCAGACCCTGAACAGGCCCCATCAATTTCCATCTAAACCACAGAGCCATGGCTAATAATGATGGTGGCAGATAAGCCAATCTCATTTTTAATAAATATCGGGGCCACTTACTCTGCCCTTCCCGAATTTGCAGGGACACTTGTCCCTTCCTCTGTCTCTATTATGGGGATAGATGGGCTAATATCAAAACTTCTAATACCATCCATTGTAAACTGCTGCCTATTTGGGACTCCTTTTACATACTCCCTCATCCTGCCCAGGTGTCCTACCCCCATCCTCAGCAGAGACATTTTAATCAAATTCCAGGCCTCATTATCTATGTTACCCCCTTCTTCTGTCCTCCAACAATCCTATTCCGATTCTTCCTTTTTCTTTCATCTCACACCTGCCATCACCTCACTGTCGCCATACTCCATAGACCAGGCAGGACTGTGTGACCCACACCACATATCTTCTTAACACACTTGCCAAATGGGGCTACTGAGTCTTTTACTCCAAGGCACAACTTATCTCTACCTCTGTTCAATACTTAGGCCTTTCCCTCACCCCTTCCATCTGCACCATACCTCCCGAACGACTAACTACACTTTTAAATACATGCCATCTCTCCACATAAAGGGAACTCTTATCCCTCCTGTTGTTGTTTGCCATCAAGTTGGACCCGACTCATAGCGACCCCTCCTTGGGTTGCCGAGGCAGTATCACTACGGAAGTAGATTGCCCAACCTTCCTTCTGAGGAGTGGCTGGTGGGTTTGAACCTCCAGCCTTCTGGTTAGCAGTCAAGTGCCTTAGGCACTAGCTGAAGATAATCTTAAATAGATGTGATGCATTGAACACCAATGATCGAAAACCAAAACAATCATGGGATGACATCAAGAGCATCATCCATGAAGAAAGCAAGAGGGCATTAAAAATACAAGAAAGAAAGAAAAGACCAAAATGGATGTCAGAAGGGACTCTGAAACTTGCCCTTGAGTGAAGAGTAGCTAACGCAAATGGAAGAAATTACAAGATAAAAGAGCTGAACAAAAGATTTCAAAGAGCAGCTCGAGCAGACAAACCCAATTACTATAATGAAATGTGCAAAGTCCTGGAGGTAGAAAACCAAAAGGAAAGAACACACTCAGCATTTCTCAAGCTGAAAGACCTGAGGAAAAAATGTAATCCTCGAGTTGTAACAGTGAAAGATTCTATGGGCAAAATATTGAATGATGCAGGAAGCATCCAAAGAAGATGGAAGGAATACACAGAGTGACTGTACCAAAAAGAACTGGTCAATCTTCATCCATTTCAGGAGGTGGCATATGTTCAAGAACCAATGGTACTGAATGAAGAAGTTGAAGCTACACTGAAAGAACTGGCAAAGAACAAGGCTCCAGGAATTGACGGAATACCTATTGAGATGTTTCAACAAATGGATGCCCCACTGGAGGCACTTACAGTTACCTGGCCAACTGACAGGAAGAGATCCATATTTGTACCCATTCCAAAGAAAGGTGATCCCACAGAATGTGGAAATTATTGAAAATAATATCATATGCAAGTAAAATCTTACTGAAGATAATTCAAAAACAGTTGCAGCAGTATATCAACAGAGAACTTCCAGAAATGCAAGCTGGATTCAGAAAAGGACGTGGGGCGAGGGATATCATTGTTGATGTCAGACGGATCTTGGCTCAAAACAAAGAATACCAGAAAGATGTTTACTTGTGTTTTATTGACTATACAAAAGCATTTGATTGTGTGGATCATCACAAATTGTGGATAACACTGAGAAGAATGGGAATTCCAGAACACTTAATTGTGATCATGAGGAACCTGTACAAAGACCAGGAGGCTGTCATTCGAACAGAAAAAGGGAACACTGCACAGTTTAAAATCAAGAAGGGAGTGTGTCAGGGTTGTATTCTTTCACCATACTTATTCAATCTGTATGCTCAGCAAATAATCCAAGAAGCTGGACAATAAGAAGAAGAACATGGCATCAGGATTGGAGGAAGAATCATTAACAACCTGCGACATGCTGACAACACAACTTTGCTTGCTGAAAATGAGAATGACTTGAAGTACTTACTTATGAAGATTGAAGAATATAATCTGCAGTATGGATTACATCTCAATACAAAGAAAATAAAAATCCTCACAACTAGACCTATAAGCAGCATCATGATAAATAGAGAAAATAGTGACATTCTCAAAGACTTCACATTGCTTGGTTATACCATCGACACCAATGGAAACAGCAGTCAGGACATCATACAATGTATAGCACTAGGCAAATCGGCTGCAAAGGACCTCTTTGAAGTGCTGAAGAGCAAAAACGTCTCCTTGAGGACTAAGGTGCGCCTGACACAAGCTATGATATTTTTAATCGCCTCATATGCATATGAGAGCTGGACAACGAATAAGGAACACTGAAGAAGAATTGATGCTTTTGAGCTGTGATGTGTTGGTGAAGAATGCTGAAAGTACCATGGACTGATAAAAGAAATAACAGGTCTGTCCTGGAGGAAGTGCAGCTGGAATGCTCCTTGGAGGTGAGAATGGCCAGACTTCATCTTACATGCTTTCGTCATGTTGTCAGAAGGGACCATTCCCTGGAGAAGGATGTCATGCTTGGTAAGGTGGAAGGTCAACAAAAGAGGGGAAGGCCCTCAACGAAATGGACTGACACGGTGGCAGTGGTGATGGGCTCAAGTATAGCAAGAATCATAGAGCTGGCTCCGGACCAGGCAGTGTTTCATTCTGCTGTGCATAGGGTAGCTATGAGTCGGAAACAACTCGACATCACTTAACAACAACAACAATCTTACCTATGAACTTGTGCTACAAAACTAGCCACATATTACAGAAGCAACAGAAGACAGAGTTGAAGTAACCTCTCAGAGACAACAATACACCTTGAGAGAGAGAATCACTGGGCCTGCCAACTTGGAACCATAGTCTAGGGGGACACCAAACTCAATTGGCACAACATAGTACATAAAAATCTGGTTCCACAACCTACTTTGATGAGTAGCGACTGGGGTCTTAAAAGTTTTGAATGGCCATCTAAGATGCATCCATTGGTCTCCTCTCCTCTGAAGCAAAGAAGAGTGAAGAAAACCAAAAGCATCTGGAAACAATTAGTCCAAGGATATGATAGACCCTGAGGCCAGAAGAACTAGATGGTGCCTGGGTACCAATGCCAACCACTTAGAAACGGATCAAACCTGGAGATCCTGGAGAGAGTGGAAGGAAAAATGTGGAACAAAATTCAAAAACACAAAAATGACCAGAATTACTGGTCAGACAGAGTCTGGTGTGACACCCAAGACTATTGCCCCGGGTTACTCTTCAGGTCTAGAATTAGATTCACTTCCCGTGGATTGGCTCTCAGCCTAACAGTAGAAAGACCTACATGCAGAACATCTATCCCAAGGTGATGCACCCACCTACTCCAGGGAGACACCCCTTAGAGCAATCGGCATGGGGGCCAGAGGGACAGCATTAACACAGAGGGAAAGCTGTACAGACAGGAGTGCATAGCTAAGAAGGGCACAGGAAGGGGTAGTCAGGGATAGGAGGGGAGGAGAGTGTGTTATGGTCAGGGATGATAATTGGGGCATGAAATCAAAATGTACATGAACTGTTGAATGTAAAACAAAGCACAATAAAATTAAAAATGAAAAAGAACTCCCCAGGCATTAGAGAGAATTATGTTCAAGGCCCCAGCAAAGCCCCTCCCACAAACCTAGAACTTGATATTACCTCTACAGGTATATCTTCTTCCAGATTTGGGTACAGGGCCAAGGGATGCCTGGCCAGGTGGGCTTCAATGTCTTCAATAAATACCTTCTGTGCCTGCTGGTCTGGTGAGAGCTTGGGAAAAACAGCTGCTTCCTTGGGCTGCTTGTTTTGCATTGTCTTTGGGGGAGGTTGGGGAGCTCTGTGATAAATCAGGGGAAGAAAGCTCTCCTGAGCATCCTTCATGATCAGACCTTTGCAAGGAGGACAGTCTTTCCTGAAGTTGTCTAGCCCCTTCCTCACAAATATTGATTGCTGGTTGTTCAGGGAGGTGAGGAACTTCAGCCTGTTCTTGTGCTCTGTGAAACACTGGGAAGGTAGCTTCTCTTTGTACCTAGAAAACAACATGCCTGGTCATACGGACCGCAAAGAGGGGTGAGAGGAGGAGACTGTATGAGGCTGGTGGCCATTTTTTTTTTTTTGGAGAAAGCTGGCATCAGGGAAGGAGATTTTGTTATCTAAAAGCAGGTCTGTGCCTGGTACAACTCCTGCCAATAGAAACCACAATGAGTTGAGGGAAAGAGAGGGATTTATTCTTCAGTACACTAACGGAGACAGAGAGGTTTTCAGCCTCAGATTCTGTCTTCTGGGAGTGGCTTGTGGTTTTTATAGGATCTTGAGCCAAGAAGGTGACGTTGTTACAGGTTTAAATACATGTTAAACACATACAAACATTGCAAGCATGCACAGCTGCAAAAAGTTACATTATCTTCTCATTATCATGTAAGCATGTGTCATTATCATACTAAATCTCCGCCCAGCAGTGTGATTTTTACTATGCTAGCCATTCAAACCCACCAGCCACTCCTCAGAAGGAAGATTGGGCAATCTACTTCCATAGAGCTACCGCCTCGGAAACCTAAGGACAGATTGCTATGAGTCGAAACTGACTGGACTGCAGTTAGTTTGGTGTTTTCAGTTTAATGTAACCTCCTAAGCTGACCATTGCTCAAGCCATAAAAGTAAATGTATAAAGAAAACAGGAATTGCAACTTTTTACAAGAAACCACAAAGAGTGAAGTTTATCAATAAATTTGAGAGCCTGGGGGTTGGTCTCAATCCCCATCCTCCTATTGAAGCTATGATGTTATACTAGTTTAACAATAGAAGCTTCAACTGATTTTTTGTTGTTGTTGTTAACTTTCTAAATTGTGATGCCAAATTTCAATGTTTATATCTACATTTCATATAGCCTTGCTTGTATATAGGGTTTTGTAGGCTTGCACTAAGAAAAACATACAGGTTAATAATGAAGACAATAACAAGACTCTATATAATGAAAATTAGGCAGTCAAGAAGTTAACTGGACAAAATTAATTCCTGCAGGTGTTAGCAGAGTTTGGGCGGTGTTTCTATTCTTCTGTAACTTGTGAATAACTGCACTAATTTAGGCTGGTCTTGTTCAATTTGTCCTGAGGCACTCACCAGTGAGCAGCATGCTGCATTTATGTAAACACATAGTTCTTCGTGGGATGTTAGCATTAAATCTAAAGTAACTCGATTTTGTAACACTCCTATTTCTGTAGTTAATTTCTTTTTGACTCAACTATGAAGGAAGGTTGGGCAATCCTACTTCCATAGTGATACTGCCTCGGAAACCCAAGGAGGGGTCGCTATGAGTCGGGGCTGACTCGACGGCAAACAACATGATGAATTCATAGTTTGACTTTTTCAAGTTTAACTGCAATATATATGGTCAGCAGGACTTGGAAAGGTGCTTTCCACAGAGGCTGGAGGGGGCTGTCTTTCTAGGCTCTAAGTAAGATCAGGTCCCCAGGTTGGAAAGGGTGGGCTAAAATGTCGAGAGGGAATTTTGGTGTAACCAGGTGTACCTATGGACAGGAATTGGGCACCATTCATCACCTGAAGGTCAGGCTGGAAAGGCCTTCCATATATAAACTTAAAAGGGCTTAATTTTAAACTATCCCAAGATATTGCTCTAATTCTTAACAAGGCAATATGCAAGGCTTCTACCCAGGTGAGTTTGGCTTCCTGATATATTTTTGCTAATAAAGCTGCTTCTGTCAGTATGAAGTTTAAGATCTACATTGCTAATAGGAGTGTTTACCAGGACTGGTCTACTAAAATGAACTTCTTCAATCTGGGCACAGTCATAGCCAATATTATTACCGGGCACTTATGGAAGCAAAGTGATGGGGTTAATTAAGACTGGAAGTTACTTCTGCAATGTTGTCTACTAACTCACTCACCGAAGGGACCCATGTCCCTCTTCCTGGGGTAACACAGAAAGCCGTCTCCTTGTCTTCACTGTAAGCATTGCCTTTGGGCCTTATATCAACTCTGACCTCAAGGACCAAAGACTTCAACCCTGCAGGAAAAAAAAAAAAAAAATCCAGTGTAGGCTGGTATTGGCTATGGGCTCCTGTTGGTCAGAAGTGTCCCTCTGAACCAGATGATACAAAAAGGTGGAGTCCCATCTGAGTGGTAAAAAACTGTTACCTAAAAACAGGTCTATGCCCGGCATAAATCTTATCAATAGAAACCACACCAAGGTGAGGGAAAGAGGCCTTTATTCCGTAGCATGCTAAGAGAGAGAGAAAGGTTATTTATCCTCCTATTCTGTCTGTCCTCTGTGTGCGGCTTACAGTTTTTATAGATTATTGGGACAAGAAGGTGATGTAGTTACAGGTTTAGATACATGTTAAACATACATAAACATTGTAAGCATGTACAGCTGCAAAAAGTTACACCATCTTCTCATTATCATGTAAGCATGTTTTGTTATCATACTAACTCTCTGCCCAGTGGTGTGACTTTGGCGTAGTGCCTAAGGCATTTATTTGATTGCTAACCAGAAGCCTGGCAGTTTGAATCCACCAGCCACTCCTCAGATGGAACAGTGGGCAATCTTCTTCTGTAGAGACACTGCCTCAGAAAACCAAGGAGGGTTTGCTATGAATCAGAACCAACTTGATGGCAGTTTGATTTTGGTTTGGAATGTAACCTTTTATCTCCTGAGCTGACCTTTGCTCAAGTCATAAAAGTAAATGTATAGAGAAAACAGGAATTGCAACTTTTTTATAAGAAACCACAAAGAGCATGAAGTTTATCAGTAACTTTAAATGCCTAGGTGTTGGTCTCGATTCCATATAAAAAGGGTTGTGTTAAGCACACTCCTATTGTTGTTGTTGTTATTTGCCATCGAGTCGGCCCCGACTCATAGCAACCCCTCCTTGGGTTTCCAAGGCAGTATCACTACGGAAGTAGGA